CATATATTAGTTATCATGGGAAACTGAAAGAACCAACTTAAGAGTCACGGAGTAACTGTTATTCACCATTTAACAAGGGTGAGAGAGACTAGCAATCCAAGAGTCACGAACAAAAAAAACACAAAAACAATATGAGACAAACAAAATAATCAACCTTTATCTATAGGATCATTCAAACCGATGGATTCATTTTTACCAGAAAAATTATCAAAGTAAGCTTTCAAACGATGTTCATTTACCTTAAAAACATTGTCATTCTTTGGATTCTCAACTTCAAAAGTCCTATAAGGATACACGTGTTTCTCAATAAAGGGACTACTCCATCTTGATCTTAGCTCTTTAGTGAATAAATAGAATCGAGAATTATAAAGAAAAACTTTTTAACTAGTGTCAAATTTTTAATAATTTTCACAAGTTTTGCAGAATGTATACGTGTCTGTGAACATTGTGGGCCAATAAAATCCATTTTGAAAGATTTTCGCAGCTGTCTTTTTTAACGAGAAATGACTTCCACATGTTTGAGAATGATAAAGTTTAATGACACTACCTACCTCATTGTCAGGAATGCATCTTTGAAATATTTGATCAGGAAAATATTTGAATAAGTTAGGGTTATCCCAATAAAAGTTCTTCACTTCGTTCAAAAACTTTCTTTGTCTTGGGTACTTCAATGAGCTGGCAAATCTCCTGAAGTAAGAAAATTGATATTTTTTTATCATACCAAGGCGTTTGACTAAGAGAAAGTAAGGATTCGTTAGGAAAGTAATTATCAATTGATGTGATGTCAGATGTCGAATTTGTTGTCACTTTTGATAAAAGATCCGCATCAATATTTTCAATACCTCTTTCATCTGTGATTTCTTCCTGAGAATAAACCATTTGCATATCTTCAGATTCATCAAACTTTGTTTTACTCATGGTAGATTCAAATTGATTATAAACTAATTCGTCAATAATATCTACTTCCTGTGAATCATTATTATCCCTAGGTTGTTTGCAAATGTTGAAAATATTCATCTCCAATGTCATGTTTCCAAAAGATAGCTTCATCTGTACATTCCTACAATTAATCAATGTATTAAAAGTTGTAAGAAACGGACGTCCTAAAATAACAGGAAATGAATTACATGCTTCAACAGGTTGTGTCCAAAACAATAAATGGCATGAGAAAATGGAAGTGCTGGCGGAGAATCAGTCGTTTCTTTGCAATTTTCAGATTCAACCCCTTCCTTTCCCTTAGAAATTGACTCATCATCTTTCTCATAAGGTTCAAGAGAGGGTTTTTCAATAACCTTACCACTGCGTAGAGTAGTGACTGATTTGACTTGATCCATGTGTTGACTTCCATAACTACTTGCATTTGCATTGTATTGCTCCTTGAGATTTTGCTGTGGTTTAGATGGAAACTTACCTTGCTCTTGAAAATTGAGAGCAGATGTGAATTTTGCAAGAGTATCTTTAAAATCTGTTATGCTTTGAGCAAGTTGAGTGTTGATTGTCTCTTGCTTTTCAATGAATGCATACAAAGTTTCCTCAAAATTTCTTGTAGGAGGTGGAGCATAAGGAGGTGCATATCCATGATAATTTTGGAAATTATAGTGTGCTTGAAACTGTGGTTGTGAAGTTTGTGCATTGTTGTTCTCACTCTTCCAATTGAAATTTGGGTGATTTCTCCAACCAGGGTTGTATGTTTGGGAGTATGGGTTGTGGTTGGCCCTTTGAAAACTGTTTAAAGCATGGGCTTGTTCATGGAGACATTCTTTAAAAGAAGGCAAGGTTGGACAATCGTTGGTTGAGTGTTCATTTGTTTCACAGATTTGACACACAATGTTTTCAACAGATTTTAATTGACCACTCTTTTTCAATTCTAGTGCCTCGACTTTTCTAGCTAAAGATGCAAACTTGGCTTGAAGGTCATGATCTTCCCTAAGGTTGTACATACCTCCACTAGATGTATGAGGTTGAGTTTTACTCGGTGCCTCATATGTACCCGTGGTGTCCCAATTTTGAGCATTTTCAGCTAACAAGTCTAAGTACTTCATTGCTTCATCAGGGTCTTTATCTTCAAAAGTTCCATTGCACATCAATTCAACCATTTGCCTATCTTTAGGTGTTAACCCTTCATAGAAATGTGAAACCAATCTCCATGTTTCAAAACCATGATGAGGGCAAGTATGAAGCAAGTATCGATACCTATCCCAACATTGGTAAAATGTATCTCCTAGTTTTTGAGTGAAAGTGGTGATTTGTCTCTTGAAAGAGTTTGTTCTATGAGATGGGAAAAACTTCTTTAAAAATTGTTGTTGCATTTCATCCCAAGCACGAATGGATCCTGGTCTTAAATTTTGTAGCCATGTTTTAGCTTTATCTTTTAATGAAAAAGGAAAAAGCTTTAATCTGATGGTGTTCATGCTACAATTTAAATTATTATATGTGTTGCAGACCTCCTCAAATTCCCTTAAATGCAAGTATGGATTTTCCAATTCCATGCCATGAAAAGAAGGTAAAAGTTGAATAATACCTGGTTTAAAATTAAAATGAGATGCATCGGGAGGAAAAACTATGCATGATGGTGCACTTGTTCTTGTGGGATTCATGTGGTCTCTAAGTGTTTTAATACGGTTATTCTCATTCTTATTATTATGAAGTAATTAATTATCTTCTTTGGCTATTTTTTTAAAAATGATGAGGATACCCTATAAAGTCTACCACTTAATGTATGTGACCACACTCTCATGCACGTGTAGGAGTAGAAGAAAAGGAAGAAGAAAACAAAAGACGATGAAACAAAACAAAAGAAACAAAGTTATATATAAGAAAAGTGAAAAGAGAAAACAAAATAAATATTATAATTTATACAAGAATTTACCTCCCTAGTAACGAAGACAAAAACTTGATATGACCAAAAGATTGATGTCTTCTTCCAAGTGTAGGAGTGTTGAAGTAATAAATAACCCTGCAAGACCGAGGTCAAACCACAAGGAGGTTAATTGTATAAATTATAGATAACAACAATACAACAATACAACAATAACAATAACAAGAATAGTAATAGTAATAATAATAGTAATAATAATAATAATAGTAGTAGGAATAATAATAATAGAAGAAGAAGAAGAAGTTGATATGAACTTTGAGATGAAAGATTAATGTAAGGATTAAACAATGATAACAATAAATGTCAAGGATAGAGGATCAGACTATTATGTTCAAAACTAGATGACTTGACCTGTTAATTAAGAGGGCGTTTGACTTAATGGTAACTGTTGCTTTTTTTTTTTTTAAATCAGTAAAGCTAGTGTTCGGTTATAAGTAGCAGCTATGGTTTGGCTCATGGGACCCACTAAAAAAAGGTTTAAATTAGGTTTTGATTAAGCAATTTTTTCATGTTTCCTTCTGCGTTTTTGTTCAATACTAGTCATAAAAAAGCAACTATATGGGTGCCACAATCGAGTTTCCTCAACCAGTTGCGAATATTAAATGCTTTGTGTTATGATTATCAACGTATAGATAAAAGAAAAATGGTTGCTATGTTGAAAATCAATATTACTCATTGATATCCATAAAAATCACAGGAAATAAAACCTGAATCTGTGTAAGGATGGGTTAACGGAAAAGAAGAGATAAAGAGAGACATATAATATCTTGCTGGAGGAGAGGGGAGGGGTGTTAACACAAGGGGAAAACACTTAGCTTTTCTCTCCACTATTCGTGTCAGACCAGGTCCAATTCAAAGCTAAATGCATTGAATTGGGTCTGACTCAGTTAAAAAAATTAGAAAAAGATCGCTTGATGATGTAATATTTGCAGAATTTGATTGTAATCCCAATTTTATTTTTGCTAGGTCCGACTTAGTTAAACAAATTCAATTTTTATTTTTATTTTTAATTGTATTTTATTCAAAAAATTAAAAGAAAATCATTTGATGACATAGCATTTGCAAAATTTGATCAAACAATAAAAAATATTTGATATCAATATTATTTATTTTATAATGTAATAGCAGTAGTTAAATTTATAATATTTAAATTGAAAACTATATATATATATATATATATATATATATATATATATATTAATAATTTGAAAATCATTCTTTTAACCAAACACATTAAACTGCTTTTTATTCAATCTTAATTTTAACCACAGTTTTAACCAAATATATATATTTTTCAAATCAATCTCAACTAATATTATTTTTTTATAAAACAACTTTTTTCAAACCACAATCATAAAAATTAATATAATACCAAACATACTTTAAATTAAATTATTATATGAGCAATTTTAGATGTTATTCTTGTTAAATATTAGAACATTATCATCACTAAGCAATTCAAAATAAAAATAAAAAAAGATTATTTTTTTTAAAGATTTAATTTATTTCAAACTAGTCTTTTGAGCTGCTATGAATTTAGTAAGTTTTTTAAATTGTAAAAAAAAATATTAAGAGTGTAAATTTTTTAAATTTATTATTAAAAATAAAAAAATATTAAGAGTGTGAATTTTTTTTAACTTTATTATTAAACTTATAGGATAGACCACCTTTATTTAATAAAAAAATAAATATATAATAATATGAATCCATGAAAATTTAAAAAACTTTCTATTATAAAATTATATCTTAAAATTATATCTTAAGTTTTTTAATAATAAGTTACATATATATATATATTTGTGACATTTATTGTAATATAATTTTATAATATTTATTATAATATAGTTTGATGAAAAAATAAAAAACTTCAAAGAAATATAGTCAAATTTATGGAAAAATATTGTTAAACTTTTGTATTTGATTAAAAACCTAATAAATATTGTTTTTTAAAATTATTATTTTTATTTGAAAATATATGAAAATAACCTATATTTTTAATATTTATATATTAAAATCATTTAAAAATATATAAAAAACTAATTTTAAATTAAAATAAAATTTCAATTTTTTTTAAATATAATTAAAATGCAATGCCAAACACTGATATAATGAAACGCTCAGTCGCTCCCTTCAAACCCACCAAAACGGTATAAACCTCTTTTCTTTTCTGTTAGCTCTCAAAACCCTAAAATTCTCTCCACTCACAAACAATGGCTGAACCGAGTCAGCTGACTCAGCATATTGAATCTTTTGTTGACTCATCACGCTCCTCTACTCAGCAGGTTCAAGGCCTACTCTACTCTTAACCGCACAAGCTCCTCAGTTTTGGACTTTTATCTCTTCATTATTTAGCCTTTTAAACTCTTCAATTGGCTGCTCCATATATTTATAGGAAGCGTAATTTCTCAATTATTGTTGAATATTTAAAAACAAAAATGTAAAAAACAAAAAAAATCACATTTTCCCAAATTTAGAATAGTTTTGGTTTTGTTTGTAATGTATTTAATTAATAATTTGTGTCTTAAGTGCAGGCTGCAAGTTTGGATGCAATAGTTTCCTTCGTGAAGAATGATATAGTAACTATACCATCACTGGTATAATTCACTTTTTCTTTCCTTACAATGTTTTTCTTAGTTATGGTCGTTTTTTGGTGAACTGTTGTATTGATGCTTGTGTTATGCTTAGGTTAAGGAGATGGAGATGTATCTGACTACAACAGATAGCATAATCCGTGCACGAGGTACTTTTTGTTACTGTAATACTTTATGTTTGCTTATGTCGATTTATGTGCAAATAAATGATGAGTACCAATCCTTTCTGAAAAATGGTTCTTCAGCAAATTATATGGTATATGGTATGGTTATAATGTGGGGACAATTTTTTCATTTTGGAGCATGTTTACGGCATTATGGGGTAAACTTTTTGTGATTGTTTTCTGGCGATAGGTAATTTAAAACTAATTCAAGCATGCTCGTAAAAATTGTGCTATCCTCTTGTTTATTTTTTATTTTTTTATGTATTTGAACACCATATTCTGAGAAGCTCTTAGAATAATTTTTTTTTACTGTTTCAGGCATCCTTCTTCTTGGAGAAGCAATTAAATGTCTTTCATCAAAGCCGCTGGATGCTGCTACTATTCATAGCTTGATGTCTTTCTTCAAAGAGCGACTGGTGAGTTTGTCATTTTGCAATGCACATACATGTACATGGAAGAGGCTGCAATATATAATAATTTAACTTTATTTTATTTAGGTGTTTCTGGCCTATCTGTTGTATTTGTTTCATTGTACCCTGTAAAATTAGCTGCACACCTTTGATACTATGCTTGAAGAAATTTCTTCTTGGTTCCACTATATTGCTCGAAGTCTTGTCCATTGTAATTTTGATCTCAATACACTTGACTGGTGATCTGGGAATCCCATTAGAGAATACATGAGATTGTGCACATTTAAATATGAAGTCAAATGAAGTATTTCTAAGGTTTGCTTATTCTGGAAACATTCTTACCTATGTTGCCATGTGATTGGTTCCGTGTTCCTCCTATAAAGTTGGGTAGGTTTTGTTGGACTCTTTTTTTCTATGTTTAGATTCTCCTTCCTGATGAGTCTTGGTTTTACTTTGAAGCCTTTCTTTGAGTTTCTTTGTGGTAAGGATGGAGTCATTCCAGTGAAAGATGCCTGCAAGCACAAATGCTGGATTGTTGGTGCAATACAAAATCCTTTTAGTCATTTAGGAATATTTGTTTATGCTAGTATGGTTACTGATTACAATTCTAGAGACAACTCAATCATCGTTTCCTTACAAGGATTCAATTATGGTACACATACAAATAGAAAGAATAGATCCAATTTGGTATATGCTCTGGGTATGCACTCAAAAGCTGGGATTGTAAGAATCACGCTTTTTCAGAAAAGGGGGAAGCTTGAAAAGGCATTGGCTAGAAGGAAAGCTGGGTAGTCCACAGCTTTGAGCTCTTAAGCTAGGAGTTTTCCCTTCTGTCTTCTGGTTAGGTGGATTGAATTTCCTTCTGGCTGGAGGTAAAGCAGCATTTGAGTTGAGTTGCTAATGGAAGAGTACCGTAGGTAATTGTACTACACTTCCTTAAAATAGCTCTGTATCAATAGATAGAGTGGATGCTAGAGTCTTCCCTATGTAATGGGCTTTAAAGCTTGGTTATAGACTACAGTTTTCTAAATTGTAGTCATTACCAGGTCTTTAGGAGGTTATGAAATGTTGAATTGGTGGATTATTTTACTTACTATGTCCTTGCCATATATTTTGGTCCTGTTAATGCATTCTTCGTTATGGCCTTGCTTCTCTTTTCATCCATAAAGTCCAGATTAGACTTTGAAACCTATTTGATGGTCCATGCTCACGCTCATTACTATGAGTGCTGATTAGTATGGGTTTCAACAATCTAATCCTTTTTTCATTCTTTTTATTTTGGCCAGGTAGTGATTAGCTATATTCTTTATTATATTGCATCAAAATTATAAAGATGATAGTATCCTTATATCAGGCAGATTGGAGAGCTTTACGTGGTGCACTTGTTGGTTGTTTGGCATTGGTGAAAAGGAAAAGTGGTGGTATGGTCACTAGCAGTGATGCTAAAGGAGTTGCAGAGTCTTTTTTGCAAAACTTGCAGGTTCAGTCTTTAGGACAACATGACAGGAAGGTAGGATTGTCTACACATGTAATTCTAATTCCAACTCTTCCAGAAGTTACAACAGCTTTCTGTCTGGATTAACTTTGCACCCTGGTTTTTCTCTCCAATTTTTTAGTAATTTCTTTGTTAAATTTCAACTTTAGAACTTACCATTAAATTCTTCTTGCAGCTTTGCTTTGAACTTATGGAATGTCTGCTAGAATACTATCCTCTTGCTGTTGCTTCTCTGGTATCTCTTCAGTCTCACTTTCCCTCAACTCATACTTTCCAGTTTCAAGTGAATGACTTGAAAAAGTTAGAAAAGAGAAAGAATAAAAGTGGATTCAACCTTAGCCAAACCTGGAACTGGGTTCAAGCTTGTATCTTAACTGTGCAATGAAACAAAAAATTGTGTGATAGGGGAGATGCCAAATTTTGTCCCCCGAACAATGGCCTTTTGTCATTGTTATTTATCAGTGGTTGTTGCTTGGTGGAATGGTGATGTTCTGGGTCTACAGGTTTTTGTCCAATGACCTATTTCATGAAAGAGTTGAAGAGTAGGATTGTCTTCCATTTCCCCTCTTATGACCTATTTTGTTGTGGTTGTAACTGGGAATACCTTTTTCTATGATGTAGAACAATATGAGAAGCTGAACAAGGGTTTTGTTGGGTACAAAATGATTTTCATATAAGCAGCACAAGGTTATTTAGGATAGGTGCTCATGATGAACCATAACCATGGAATCCATTTGCTTGCTTAGATCAATGTTAGTTATACCTGTGAAATTCATAGTTATTATGATCCATACATTAACACTAGAGATGCAACCCACTGATCTTATTGAACGATGTTTATCTGAAATTTTGGGTGTTATCATAAATGTTAGCTTACTTGAATCGTTTAAGTTACTGGTTAGTAGCTGTCTTTATGCAATTACAACAACCTTATGTTTGCAAACACAAAGCTAGTCTTGATAGTACCAACTTTGTGCAAAAGTGCTGAGGGATAGGTCTCTATAATTTCTACTCTCAGAACCCCACCATTGCTACCTGATAAACTTTTTATACCATCTTTACAAATGGGATTGTTACTGGAGTCCAACCACCTCCCCAACCTGCAAGGAACCTCCCTCCCTCCCTCTCTCCTTGCTGTCACATAGGCAACACTTCCAGCAATACCTACAAGCACAAGCACAAGCACATACAAACACAACTTGGTGTCTGTCACCTAGTGTTGTAATTAATTTTGTTTTTTTACAGTGTCTTGTACTTTTCATGTTTTGATATGATCACATTGTTGATTTTGATTCTAGGGCGATGATCTAATTTATGGAATTTGTGAAGCTATTGATGGAGAAAAGGATCCTCAATGCCTAATGCTAGCATTTCACATTATGGAGGTTCTAGTGCAAGTGTTTCCTGAACCTTGCAGTCCCATAGAAAGTTTTGCTAGTGATCTTTTTGGCATTTTGAGCAGTTACTTTCCCATTCATTTTACACATGTAAGCTTCATATACCAATCACTCTTTTGTATGGACCAGTTGTTTGGATATGATTGCTTTTCACTTATCTAGTTTTTTTTCCTTCCTGCAGCTGCCTTATTAAGAGTCTTAGGTTTTGCATTGTGTCTACATTTATATACATGATATTCAAGGAGCGTTTTTGAACCTTCCCTTTTAAATGACAAGTGATACATGTCTTAGGCTTGTCTGTTGTTTTACTTGGATGTCGTAAGCTCTTTTATCTTTTCTTGGGGGTGCTTAAGTGACTGCTTAAAGTATAGGGAGTTTACCATCTAGTTAAATTCTCTGGTCTATTGTCTACCTGGACAACTTCCTTTTTTCATGACACAGACTCTTTATTTTGAGAGGTTTCAGAGGCCTCATGTATTAGATTTGTGGAAAGTGCCTTCATCTTTTCTTATGTAGCCGTACTTCAGTGCTGGATGAGATGCCTGTAATAGTTATTTGCTGTATTGGATATTATATTAGTTTTTGGTTCAGCCACATGTTAGTGTTTGTGAGTACCATTTTACTTGCAGTCAATCATACATTTGCAAATAAGGTTATGTTGATGCATAAGATCATAGTTCTAAATCTTGTAACGATGCTAAGCATGGTTTTATTTGGATATGATCTCTAATTCATGCTGTTTTCATCGGTAACCAATGCTGGTCCTTTAACACATTCCAAAAAAATAAAAATTGTAGAATGTGATTGCTTTATCATCTGGCTTCTGCACCACAACAAGGATATCTAATAGCTTCAGCAGTTCAACTACTATTTCATACCAACACTTCGAATTATGCTAATGTCTAACATGTATTTCTACATGTCTATGAATTTGATGCTCAAGTTTTGAAAAAAGAAAAAAAACCCATCTCTTGTTAATAGTAAATCAACTTGGAAAGGATTTTGATGCTTAAACTTTAAGATGCCTACACAGTACTGCCATAGTTGGTAAAATTTTCCAGTTCAATTCAACTGCACTATAATTTGTTGGGGAGGAGGTTGTGTTCTGTGAGGGAGGACTACTGCTTGCCACTGAACCCAAAAAAATAATAATTATAAATAACAAAAGAGATTTGCTATACAGTGAGAAGGGAAACTAGGAGCAGGGAATTCAGTCAACTTGCATGGCATTGTAGATCCTTCGGAATCAAGTCGTGAAAACTTTTGGAAGCTGGAAATGCTTGAAACACTTGACAATTGATTGCCAAATATTTAACTTTCGCTTATGGTTCAATTGCAGTTATTGTGGAAGTTAAGTTAAACAATGAAACTTATCAGATGTTTATAATGAAAATCATTTTGAGTCATACTACTGTGTTAAGGTCTGTTGCCCATCAAACTTTGGGGTAATTTGAAAGTGGAATTAGTTTCTGGAAATTTGTGGAGAACAGATGGTATTCTGAAACTGTGCTCGATATAAATCCATAAGCATAACCAGCAGGGAAAGGAAGTAATGTAGCTTATGGGGTTCATTTCATTATGGGCGCTGGCATGGGTTAGCAGATAAAGCAAAGTGTCAGTGGCCTTTTTGGGATAATGACAGATTTGAGTCCATGTTGGGTATGGTGGAGGAGGTTTCCTGAGTGTAAATTTATGAAAGCAAAAAAAGAAACATCAATTTTGGATTCTTTTTTAGTGTTTTGGAACCATCAATAACTTAAGAGCCTTGATGCAGAATCTTAAGTTGTATTATTAAATGCCCTTTCCTGTTGCTCTACTTGTGAATGTGAAATGCATTTGATCTTATTCTGTTACCCATTCTTTATATTAAAAAGAAAGTTCTGCCTTTATTGATTTCTCATATGCATTATTTTATTTCTTTGCATTTTCAGGCAAAAGCTGAGGAGGATGTTGAGGTGAAAAGGGATGATCTTTCAAGGGCATTAATGGTATCTATTGCTAACATGTGAAAACTTTCTGGCTTGTAGTAGATTTTCTCTCTCTTGAAATTTTGCTAGCTATATTGCTCTGGAAGTAAATCTTATATTTTATTGGCTGCAAAGTAAAGCTGGTTTTGTTATTTTTTGTTAAATCTCTATCATCTCTTCTGTAGTTGGTCATGATAATGTGCAAATAGACTATTTGGAAGGAGCAGAGTTTATGGATATTTTGATGACCATACTCTTCTGAGGCAATAAATAGTTTTCTTAGCCACATTGTGATGCAGGACAGGTTTGGGGGCTGTTCTGGACGAGTTTCAGGAGATGCTTGGTGCTGTGACAGTGCAGTTTACAGTGTTTTAGGAGATTTTAGGCTGAACCTTTGATTGGTAATTGTTTTAGGGTTGACTAGGTATGCGTGAGAGGTTGTTTAGGAATTTAGTGAGGGCTTTAAGATTAGATTGATGGGATTTGCTTGTTGGAAATTGTGGAATGTGATAGGCAGACTAACAAGGTTTCTAGGAGCCACACCTTAAGGATAGAAAAAACAAAGCTTCACACCTGGGATTCTTAGCAGTCACACCTAAGGGAAAATTGAATCGCACAATCAAAAGCAAATTGCTGAAAATTTAATCTTAAACTTCAATTAAAAAATTGAACATTACCTTTATATAGAGTTGCTAGTCCTCCAACAAAACACTTATTATCCTAGATAAGAAAAATACTAAGTCTATTTATAAAAGGAAAAACCTAATAAAGCTAGTTACTTTAGAACTGGTAGAATACTGAATGTGAAATAAAACTTGGACTTAATTGTCCAGAAAATCTGAAATTACATAAATATCATTGCCTACAAATACACATTATGAGTGCCACACTGCGGACTTCTATTTCTTGGCCTTTGGTAGGAGTCCCTTTCGCTGTTGGATAGCAGGATCAGAAGGCCTAATGTCGCAACTTTTAGCTTCTTGTGTATACAATCTCTTCAGGTTCTTAGAAGATGTTGCAGGTCAAAATTGCTGTTCATCGAAATTTCTGGGAGTAGTAGAAATAACTTACTAATGTTCATGTTGTTCTCTGCCTTTGGAAGGATGGTTATATGCTAGAGTTGCTTGTCCAAGACAAGGTTTGTGGAAAGCATATTACCAATGATGTAAAGTGCATGTGTTTATGAATTTGAAGGATTTTTTTTTTTGTTGGTGGGGGGTTCAACTTTTGATTCTTAAAATATGACAATACTAAGATTAAGATAAATGGATCATCATAAAACTAACAGCATACAAGAAATTATCTAAGAACATGCTTTCATGCTTAAATAATGCAAATCTTATGTCCTATGAAAGTTAATTATACAAAGATGAGAACACAAATAGCAAATGTGGGGGGTCATAGATGGTGCCTGTTGATGCCTTTGGCTGCTGGATTATTGCTGAAAGGAGTTTGTCTAATTGCAAAAGGGAAATAAAACCATATCCTGGAAGGGAGCTGAATTCCTTCCATTTGGAAGATATGTTTTCTGTTAACAAGGCGAAGCCAAGTGATTTATTCCTTGGAAGTGTGGTTTAAACAGTTGTAACTTGTGACTGGAAACTTTTAATTAGGTGAGAGAGCTCCCACAAACTAACATGGTAAAAGTTTGCATCTAATTTCATCCTCCTTTGCTATGATGTTTCGTTAGGTTTGTTGCTTTGGTTTTTTTTTTTTTTTACTTTAAATATTGTATAAACTGCCAGAGATCATGTTGAAAGGGCGACCTTTCTCGACTATATTTTCTACTCTTTTCTTTACAGCTTGCATTCTCATCCTCCCCTCTATTCGAGCCATCTGTCATTCCATTGCTTCTTGAGAAACTTTCTTCCTCCCTATCATCCGCAAAGGTCAGTTCTGTTTAACCTAGATTTTAGCAATTGATGATTATGCTGATAGGCTTACTCGTATGCTAGCTGAACAGGATTTTGGAATGTTAAGGTCCACTGCTCAGTCAAAATACATGATTTTCCATCTCCATCTTCTGTTTTTCCTTTTCAATGCAAAACTAGAAAATTTTTTCATTTTGTTAAAATAGAAAACTTTTTTCAAATGGTAAAATATCAAACAGCAGGCACAAAGTTGATTCATAATGTGTCGGTCCTTAGGAAAAAAATGAAAAAAAAATATAAATGAATGCCTTTTTGATATTTCTTTGTTTTCCATGTGGTAAACACTAGCAAATAAGGTTGGTTTTTATGAGGGAAATGTTGAAAAGAAATTTGATAGTGCTCTCCTAAACCCAATATAAACTTGGAAAACTGCAAATCAAGATTTGGAGTTTTGTGTTTTAAAATAATTTTTGAATAATAATAAACTCCAATTCTTACTTCTCCAAACTTTCCAAAAAGGTTCTTGTTTTTGAAATCTCTAGAATGCATAAATATGTATCCTGTTTATGTGTTTCCAGGTTGATTCTTTAAAGTACCTTAGCTATTGCACATCAAAGTATGGAGCAGAAAGAATCGCAAAACATGCTGGAGCTATTTGGTCTTCACTGAAAGATGCAATATTTACTTCAGGACAATCATTTGTGTTATCCTTCACCCCAGAATCCCTAGGTGGTCTAGGATGTCAGGAGAATGAAATAGCAGCTGAAGCACTGGCTCTACTGGAAAAGGTTGTTATCCAAAATAGTAATTTGTTCTCAAGTATGATTGTTGGTGATGAAGAAATAAATATGGTTTTGAATTCCATCACTGGCTACCAGAGTTGCAATGAAATTCCCTTGCAAAGCACACAGAAACTGTATTCAGTTGGTCGTATCCTTTATGTTTCTGTGAAGGCATCTGTTGCTTCCTGCAGTAGAATTTTTCAATATTTCTTCTCCTGCTTGATGGAGAGCATGGGGCTTCCAGTTGTGAATGGATCTGGGACTTGCTCTTTTAATGATGACTGCATGATCTCCAAAAGACCTAATCATGGATCTCTTTATCTCTGTGTTGAACTTCTTGGAGCATGCAGAGATTTGGTCATCAGTTCTGGTGATCTTGCATCACAATGTGTTTCTGCAAGTGAGACATGGTGCTGCTTGCTTCAGAGATTTTCTACCTCTTTAAGCATGATTTTTAGTTCAACCCTGGCAACAAGTACAGACAAGCCTGCTCATGACGCGGATGTGTATCTTGCAGGTAAATGCTTTGGTTTGCAGTGCTATTGAGGTGGTCATTGTTCCCATTTCTTTTTCTATTTTAAATTGCAAGTTTTTGGATATTTCTCAATAAGCTTGCCTTGGGTTGTCTACCAACTCGAGTAATTGATTCTAGGTTCAGAACCAATGGAGATCTGACATTAGGTTACCTAGATCTGGGTACAAGGAGTTGGACCTGAGAGTTCTAATGTAAATTATATTTGATCCCAAAATCTTCCTATTGCTGACTTGTTATAGTGCCTGAACACGTTCTGTACCATGGGTGAATTCAAAAGTCTGAACTTTGGGATTTATTTTGTAAGAGTTGGTTTCCCTTTGGATTTTATAAAAATCAAGAAGAAAGGAACCATTTCTGTCCGCGAACAAGAGAATGTATTTTCTTATCACTACATATAATATAAATCTTGTTTTCCTAATTGATTTTGATATCCAAACCTAGTTTTAGAGTAGGAAGATTTTCCCCACTCTTGGGTCTGCCTGATGCACCTGGACATGCATCATGTGTCCAATGTCCCACCCACCATCAATAGCCTGCCATTTCCAGGAAGGAAAACATGCTTGCAGTACCTGTGCTGGAAACAAATAGAAAACATACTTTTTTTTTTTTTGGGTTTTATGAGATGTAAACGTGGACATATTACAACTCCTGGAAACATATGCAGTGGTATTATAAGTCAAGGAATATAAGTCTGATATATGGTGCTAAAACTAAAGCACCATTGAGGTTTTAAGAAAAAGGGCATTCGCTCCTCACTCATAACGGAACTCCCCCCCTGAAGTGATAGATCTATCACTGTCGCTCAGGTGAGCGACAGACCTGCTTGAGATGGAGGAGCACCACTTCTTATTTTAAGGAAAAAGGAAGCGAATGGAGTCTTCCTGAAACCGGGCGGATTCTCTAACATAAGGCTAAAGCAGCTCCCGTTCTGGTTCTATCTCTAGCTGAAAAACGATTTATTCGAGAATAAGGCATTCCATTTGTCACAGCAAGATATCTACGGAGTAAGGCTAGGAATTGGACAACTAGGCTGCAGCTATTGAAGAAGAATCGCTTGTTGGAGAAGGAGCTTTAAGCAACAGTGAAGCTACCAAACCCTTCTTTTTTTCCCCTCGCTTTCCTACTTCGAACAGGGAGAGAGGCTACTTTTGAATTTCTCGTTGATTTATTATAATTAATATCTTTTTAATGCATTTTTCCTGGATAGCAGTCTAGTGAGCCTATGCTCATTCCAGTCAGTCCGAGCAAGTAAGAATAAATAAGGAAAGTCGCTAGGGAAGTAGGAAGTAGGCTTAGCTCTTGTGCACATCTTTTGAGGGGTTTACTTGCTTACTTCTTAGAGTAAGGTGAGAGGAGATTTTTTCATAAACCATTTCTTTCTCGATGCTTTTCGGTTTGGAACTCTGTTTTCTTTGCCTCCCATTAGTTGTCAAGGAATATAACCCTGATATATGTTCCTAGATGAAGCACCGATCAGCCTTTTCCTTCCATTAGTTGCTGTTTTGACTCTCAGCATAATTTGTTGACTAGTTAGAGGAGCTCAAACATAAAAAAATTCTGATTGCATGCTTTTCTGTTTTTTAATTGATGTGCAGTGAAGGGTTTGCAAATTCTAGCTACATTCCCTGGAGGCTATTTACTGGTATCAAAATCTACATGTGAAAGTATTTTGATGACCTTTGTATCTATTATCACTGTTGATTTCAACAAGACATTGTTGTGGAAACTGTCGGTGAAGGCATTGGTTCAGATTGGCTTGTTTATTCATGGCAGTAATGAGTCTGAGAAGTCAATGAGCTATATGGATATTGTTGTTCAGAAGATTGTTTCAATGATATCATCTGATAATCATGATGTACCATTTCAACTCCAACTGGAAGCCATCTCTGACATTGGCACAAGCGGGCTGAAATATATGCTGAAAATTGTTACTCAATTGCAAGAAGTTATATGTGCCAATCTAGCTGAGGTTTATGTACGTATGTTTAACAATCTCTAAACGCTTTATAAGAGCTCAGGGAATGTCCCCATTGAAAGAACATGATACTTGGACACCCATGCACCGTCTTATTGCATTACAATTGTGCCTACTCTAGCTCTGGGGACATTTCATTGGGTTCTTCTGTTAGTTTTAGTTTTTTCCTCCCTACAATCTGATTTTCATATCTGGACCTATAGATCTGATTGTACAAGTTTCTGTTGTGCTTCCATAGGTTCAAGGAAATGTGAAATCAGCAAAGGTCATAATTCATCTTTTGGAATGTTATTCAAATGAGTTGCTTCCATGGTACAGCATCTCTACCTTGACCATCCCTATTCTTTTTTGCTAAATTCATTGTCTGTGTTTGCATCCTCTCAAGCTACAATCTGTTACAATTATTCCTAGTAGTCACTTGCCAATACTGGCATGGCCCATAACATCGCACCTTTGTGCATGCAAGTTTACAAATGAAAGATGTTATAAGCATTTAAATAAGTAGTTCTTTTTTTCTTTTTTGTTTCAATCAATTCATTGTATTATGAGGTTTGGTTGCTTTTTCACATAAGAGGCACCTTTGATGTAAGGAGGTGGAATACTTACCTTCAATTAACTATCCTTTTTGTGTGCTTATTGCAAAGATGTTTCCCCTTTTGAGACTTCATTTCTGTTTTTAGGGGTGGGTTGTACAGGGGTTTGGTTAGCAATGGGGTGGGGTTATTTGCTGTTCTCTTTTTCCTGTTGATGTGGAATTTTTTTGGAATGGTCTCAGGATTCAGAAATATGAAGTTTTTGAGGAAGTCTTGTTCCAATTTGTTGTCAGCATATGGAACCAAATAGAAAATTGCATGGCCTCTTCTGATGGGATCCGTGAAAAAGTGAGTATTACTACAACTTTCAGGAATGTTACTTTCCACTTTAATATGTAGTGGTGCTAAAAAGAAATTTCTCTAGTTTGGGATGCAAAATCTTTTTCTCTGAGAAATGGCTTTAACATATATCATTTTTGACATCAGGAGCTTCTTGATGCTACAATGAAGGTGATGAAGCTTGCTGTTGCTTCTTGTTCCGTGGAAAACCAGAACATAATAATTGATAAAGCTTATACTGTACTCTCATCCAGCACTTTCTTATCAACGAAGGATCCCTTGTCCTCTCTTCAAGCTCAACTAGAAGAGTTAGAAGATACTCAAGAAACAGACAAATTTTCCAGTAGAGATGAGTGGATTCATTCTTTATTTGCATCAGTAATTATAGCACTTCATCCTCACACACGCATTCTGAATATAAGAACAGTAGTGCATTTTCTCATGATTGTGTTCCTTAAGGGCTATGTAACAGCCGCTCAGGCGTTAGGTTCTCTAGTTAACAAATTGGATCTAAAGACTAGTGGAACAGAGTATTCAGGTGGTTGTACCTTTGAAGAAGTAATGGATATAATCTTTGGTAAAAAATTAAGTTCTTCTGACCATGTTCCTGCTGGGAGATCTGGTATTATCACAGGCTATTGGAGTGAGACAGGTCTCACTAACTTGTGCCTTGGTGCTGCAAACAGTGGTTTGGTTAAAAGTTGTTCCATTGTTGGGTTGTCATGGATCGCGAAAGGTTTGCTTATGCGTGGACATGAAAAGGTTAAAGACATAACTATAGCTTTTTTAGAGTGCCTGCAATCAAATGGCAGAATGGGTGCCTTGCCATTGGAAGAAAATAATTGCAACTGGGATATGCGACTGTCTACAATGAAATGTGCAGCAGATGCATTTCAGGTTCTTATGAGTGATTCTGAACTTTGCTTAAACCGCAAATTTCATGCAATAATACGACCACTTTATAAGCAACGATTTTTCTCCACCATAATGCCCATCCTGCAGTCTTTGATAATTCAGTCCGACTCATTACTCTCAAGGTAAACTTCTCAAAACTAATTGCAGATTGCTTATTTCCCTCACTTCTCTTGTTGATCCTGTACTCCTTTAGATGTTGATGGATTTTTCTTGACAACTAATAAGCAGAATCCACTTTCTTATACTTTTGATTTCATTTTGTTGTTCTATTAGTATTGATTTGTTGACTCGGTTCATCAAAAAGTTCCAGATAAATGCCAGATCATTCCAGAAAAAAATGACATGTCAAGGATTGGTCACTAATTTGGTTTCACTTGAAGAGTTTTGAGTAACACCACTAATTTTACAATTTGCATTCAATTGTCTATGGTTCGTATGATATTTTATTCGCAGACATCCGGCTGTGTGGCTAGTCAAATTGATATGGGAACTTTTGCAATTTTCTTTTTTATGTTTTTTGCAATTTTTATGATTATCTATGCATGTGTTTAAAAGCTGTCATGACTTGGTTAGAATTTAGTCTGTTTTTTTGCCAGAAATAATACTGTGTTGTTAAAGCATGCTTGTTTTTCCTGTGGTGTCCATTTGTTATGGTTATTTATTAGAAATATTGAGAATAGAAAAGATTAGTCATGCTCCATTAGTGGGATTAAAAAGGATTAGTCCTGTTGCTGGGAGGTCCAAGAAGTTGCAAGGAAAAGATTTGAGCAGATACAAATTGTAACATCTCACACCCTGATGAAAATTATCTGCTATAGGAAGCCAAATAAAACCTGTAAATCTGGGTCTCTTGCTTGAGCACCCATGAGTTTTAGTAGAAGTTAGTTTTGCAGATGAATCCCAAGTGACATGGTTGATGTAATAGCATGATGGCCCAAAATAGATGGTTATGATTGATTGGGCAGTATCTTGATTCCTTGAGAAGTTCAGATCCTCGAGAACTGTCTATAGACCAAGTTCATTTGGGATGTTTGGTCCATTTCTTGATTGATAATGCAAGTTCTGTGATTTCAGATCTATGCTGTATCGGGCTTTTGCAAATGTTGTCACTGGCACCCCATTGATTGTTATCTTGAATGATGCAAAAAAGGTTAGTTTGATATCTTAGTCCTCCAGTATATTTGGTTCACATCTAGCAAGCATGCTTACTAGTAAACTGAAGTATTCCATTTTCCAGTTAATTCCAATGGTGCTGGATAGCTTAAAGTTGTTGAGCAAGGATGTTTTGGATAAAGATGTAATGTATAGCCTTCTGCTAGTCCTGTCAGGCATTTTGACTGATAAAAATGGTAAGACTCTCTGTATGTCAACATAATTATCTTTAATTTCAAAGGGGTGTATAATTTTTCTTACCCTTTATTTGGTAAAGGAAATAATTGAAGTGAGACTCTCCGACCTTAACTGCATTGTGGTTGTGCATATCAATTTATGTGTACTCCATTCAAATTTCTTCCAGGTCCTTGATTCTTAAAATTTCTTCTTGGGGCTTTGTGATTGTTCTCTCTGCCTAGTTGCTATTCCTGTAAGATTGTACATGTCATGGTGGTTGTGGAGCAGTGGTACTGGTACTTTAGTGAATGTTTCTTCTCTTTTATGTTTGTGACCTTTGGTAAAGTATATAAGAAGAGGTGTTTCACTACTGTTCGTTTTTCCTTGGGTCATGGTGCAATTCTTGCTGTGCTGGGATTTATGGTGCAATTCTTGCTGTGCTGGGATTTTGAAACAAGAGTTTGGATAAATGCTTAGGCTGTTGTTGGTTGTGTTTCCTGTAAATTACTTGAACATGATATTAATTACTTGAACATAATATTAATGTTTTTCCTATCCATATTAATGTATTAATTAGTGCAAATCTGGAAATTTTCTTTCTTTATATATACTTATATGGGTACATACATATATATCACTAGTATGCTTTTCTGAGTCATTTTACTTGCAAGGATTATCTGGATACTAGTCACTTGCAAGCTTCTTAGAATTGACTGTTTAGCAGTTGTTAATCACGTTTAAGCTCCCAAAGCATTTACATTTAGGGCCTTTATTGCTAAGCATTCGGAATTCTTCTTGAGCTCTCTTTGTAATTTTACACAGTAAATCCTTGTTATTGCATATTGTCTTTAATCCATGAAAGATGAACCAAAACTGTTTTCCCAACTAGTGGAAAATGCAAGTTGTCTCCTTTTATGCACAAATTATCAAATAGGGACTATAAGGTTATGATTTATGTGTAAATTGAGTCTCTGTTACGGTTATAATCTCTTGTATGCTTGCACATGCAGGACAAGAAGCTGTAATAGAGAATGCTCATATTATCATCAATTACCTCATAGGGTTTGTCACCTACCCTCATATGATGGTAACAGCTTTTCTTTCCTCAAAAAATTCTAATTTTCTGATAGTTTGTTCCCTAATGTGCATTTTTGGATGTGAATTCAAATTAAAAGTCCTTTGGCCGTTTACTTTAACATCTAGTCTACTTATTTATGTCCTGCCTTTCTGTCATAAATTTCTGATCGTTGCTATCAAAACCCACAATTAAGATACTTGGATTCTTCTGCTAACATTCTCAGCTTGTCCGGGAGACAACAATTCAATGTCTTGTTGCCATGTCAGAGTTGCCTCACACAAGGATTTACCCCATGCGAATCCAGGTTTGTTAAACTTTTGAGTTGAACAAATTCAGTAGGTTTATTTCTAATTTTCATCCTTGAGCTTCCCGCTCAACTTAGCGGGTGGAGCCATCAGCTAATATGCTTCTGGCAGGAGGGAGCAAGTCATGATAATTATGACATTGGCCTCTTCCTTGTATACCAATTTATGACGAGGCTTTCGCATTGCAGCTTCTTTCTCCAGTGTCCATGCCTGAATTTCTAAATTTGTATTCTCATAATTTTCAGGTGTTGCAAGCTGTATCAAAAGCTCTTGATGATCCAAAGAGGGCTGTTCGTCAAGAAGCTGTTAGATGTCGGCAAGCGTGGTCAGTGATTTAGATATATACTTCTGTAGGTTGAAACGATGTATCTACTACATGTGCATGTTCTTGCTTGCACAAGTCGATTTCATAGTGGGAACTAATTACATCGTAATTGGTTCCTCTGCCAACATAGGGCATCAAATGCATCAATCCCAAAGCTTCCTTGGCAAAATGAATCTGTTGACATGATTGTTTTTATTATTATGTCTCATTGTAAATATCTTGCACACTGAAAAAAAATGCTTGATATGTTTTTCCCAATTATGATGGACATGAAAGTTGACCATAAATATATATTTTTAAAATAGGTAAGTACATGCCTCTCCTTCCCCATCAGATTGCATGGATTTCGGTTGCTTCTGCTGCCATTTGACATGCTGCGCTTGTATCATGATACCTAATCACCAATTTCGTATGCTTCAATGAAAATTCCTGGTTTCGTATGTGTTTTTTTTTCCCAATTTTTTGCCATTACATCGTGTTTAGTTGATGTCTTGTCTTCCCGTTATTTAGGTTCTAGTTTATATACAGATATGTTAGTTACATGTCCTGTGCTTTATTGCATATCAGATCAAATTTATTTTGACGCAAAAAATTAAATTAAGAACAAAAAATTGAAGGTCATGGTGAAATTACTTCAGCATGAGACACAAGACAAAGATCACTATTTATGAAAGTAGTATAATTAGTGTAATAGGGATAATTTAATTAGAAATTGATGAATACTAACCCGACATAAATGAGTGAATGTTTTCTGAATTCAATAGATAACGAGTAGGATATAAATATTATTAAATTTAATTTGAAATTCACTTTAATTTAACTCAAAACACAAAACATTTTAGTAAATATTTAGATTTTTTAAATATAATATACTTTAATATTGATAGAAAGCACATGAATAATATTTATTGTTTAATACACACACACATATTTCAAATATATATTAACTATTTTATTTTTTATTAATTAACAAATAATAGTAGATAATAGATACTCATTGGATACCTAAAACTTGATGGATAATTTAATACATACTGATTAAATACTTTTGAAACTTGATGGATAATTTATAAATATCTAAATTTGAATACCTGAAACTTGATAGATAATTTAATGCATACTCATTGAATACTTGAAACTTGATGTATAATTTATAAATATCTAAATTTCTTACTTGATAGATAATAAGTAGAGTACAAATATCAAGATATCAAGAATTCTATCATGTGGATATCCATTATCATCCCTAAGTGTAATTATTCTTATGAGCTTTTAACAATAAAAACTTAGGCTTGCTTTTAGGGGTAATTTGGTATTTTTAAATTAACTAATTTATTATTGTGTTATTCATTAGGGATGATTTTATCTTTACACCTTTCAAATGCATAGTAAAATGATTTTATTACTTTTAAAAGCAAATTTTTTTATAGGGTTAATTGAGGTTAATTTGGTTTTTTTCACTTTTTAAGCATAGTATAAAGACTTGTACCTTAAAAAAGAAGAAGTCAAGTTACAATTTAGGAACATTTGTGTCTTTTTAGGTTGGTTTTCCGAGTTAAGGATGACTCTCTCTCTCTCTCTCTCTCTCTCTCTCTCTTTAATCAATGAGGATACTAATAAAAAAAGTTGGTGCTACATGCTAATGGCCTTCATGTATCCAAATATTGCCAGGATAGTGTTTGAAGCGACTTGTCATAGTTTTTTCAATATTGTCGTGTAAGTGGGTGAAGAAGTGGTTAGACTTTGATGATTCTTTTTCTCTCATTTCTCTTCTCCTTACCAAAATGTAATGATGTTCTCTTATTTGTTTTTTGTATCCAAATTTGCTATTATTTTATTGTTATATGTTTTTTTGTTTTTACAGATTTTTTTCTTTGATTTTATCCCTCTTTAGATTTTATTTAATTTTTATATCGAACTTGGTCTCATTTTTAATTTTTTTCTTTTTTTTTCTAATTGATTTTTTTTTTCAATTTAATTCTTTAACATTTGATTTCAAATTATTTTTATATCAAATTTAGTTTTTATTTTTTTTATTGCTATATTTTTTTTTGTTTTGGAGCCTTTTTTTATTGCATTTTTTTTCAAATTTATCCATAACCATTTTGTTGATTTATATTTTTATTTGTTTTTTTTTTCAAGTTTGTCTTTTATGGGGTTGGTCCTTGTCTCATGACTAGTGGGGTCATGAATTTTAAAGGTTAACATGGGTTGATTTTGATCCTTTTTAGAGTTTTTAAAATTGATTTTCTTATCGCTTTCATCCTTAAACAATTAATTTATTGAGAATTAATTTTTATTATTTATTTTTATTTTTATTTTTGTGGGGTTATCCTGATCTATGCTTGTTCTCGAGGATTTTGTAGGTTGACATGAATCTTTTTTTGTTGTTGTTTTTTATATGAATTTTTTTTTTTAGTTTTGCCATTAAGCATTGAGTTGTTTGATAATTGAAGTTCATAGTTTTATTCAGTTTGTTTTCTATGAGGTTATCCATATATCACAATTAGATCGTAGATTTTGCATGCTTAACATGGATGGGTTTGAGTCCTTTTTCTTTTTTACCTTTTTTTTTTAAGTTGTCAAGATTTTTTGTTGTTTTATTTATTGGTGTGTTTTTTAATTTATATTATTTATATTAGTTGAATTTATTAAACCTTAGTCGAGTCAATAACTTGAATCTTATATTTTGTTTTATTTTTTTTATAAACACTTGCATCACTTTAGCATCCTTTTTTGCAATTGGAAGATTTTGGGATGGCTTGACAGAAAAGCACAAGCCCTCCATCTAGTGTTTTCTAAAACGTATGTTTAATAAAATTAATAAAGGTTTATATTAATAAATATCATTATTATCATAATGTTATTAAAAAAAACTTAAATCATGCAATTTAAACCATGTGAGAGTTGAATTAATATGACCTGATTAATTTGACAAGTCCAAGTGTGACCTTGTTGACTTGGTCAAGACCTAGTTTGGCTAAAGAATAGTATACATTGTTGTTTTATTTTATTTTTATAAATATTAACTTAGAAGATGTTTTTGGGTGGACTTGTGTGTTGCACACATATGTGCGGTGTTGCGGCATCGAGATCAAGGAATCATCACTTAGTTATTTGATTCAGGATCATTAGGAGATAGGAGACTCAAGTAGACTAATCTTATTTGAAATTTTAAGGTAAGAAATTGACTATGGTTAAGGAATGTATTAACAACCTAAGTGCTTTTTATATAAGGTAAGTTGTATTATATAGTTTGAATATGATTTAAAGGTGTTGATGAGGTTCGTAACTGGCGGGTCCGTCTATGGCTCAGAACAAGTATTTAAGTTCATGAATAAATCTAACATTTTAAATTTATTATAGGTTCACATATCCAGGTAAAATTTTATAGGAAGAATTCATACAAGTGTTTTGATAAGGTTCTTCTATTCTAAAAGGTGAAACTGTTTTCCATAAATCGTAGATTGTGATGAAAAAATAATTCAAATTAAAATTAGTGAATATCTAAAATAATTCTCATAATTTTCTAGTTAATTCTTGATATTTAAATATCAACTTATTGGTAGGTCCATCATTTTTATTAGAATATTAATTATTAATTTTCATAAATTAAAATTTTAGAGTTATTGAAAATATTAACTAAATCCATAAAAAAATTTACAAAATTATTGTAAATTTCAAAAATATATATATAAAAAATATTTTCTAAAAAAAACAATGCTAGTTTTTTTTCTTTTCTGAATAAAATACAATTTATTTTTGTAAGGATTGAGCCATATACAACTAGAAAAATCTTTTTTATTATTATTTATTTCTATAAGGCCATGTTTTTAAAAATTATCTTTTCTTTCCTTAGAAAACTGCCAAAATATATTTAAGGGTGTACTTGCTAAACATTTTCTTAGGTCAAAAAATCATTAACAAAAGGATGTTCAACCAAACAAAGTCTTAAATACTTGGTCCAAAACAAAACCAAATGGATTGACCTAAAGACATTGGTTCAATCATGAATCAAATAAATAATCAATGTTTGATCTAAAAACTTAACCAAAACAAATGTTTAAACTGAAACAAAATCAAAGTTAAAAATTAACACAATATAAAATTTTTGTACATTCATCAAAATCTTTAACCTATAAATAAAAGAATGTTATTGTTTTATTATAAAATAGATTCAAACACCAATCAAAATACTTCAAATACATCATCATCATGTTATTAGGTTAAAAACATTGAACCAAACAAGCATCAAATCCAAGAATCATGCATTTAATGCTAGCTTTAACATATTATTGACCAAAACTAAAACAAACTATTATAGCAAAAACAAATTAGACTATATTGAAAACCATCAGATTATTCCAGTACCAAAATCAAACAAACAAAAAAAAAATACAAGATAAGCTAAAGCAATCTCAAGAAAAGATTTAAACTTTAAGAAAGTATAAATAGAAAGGTCACATAGACTCCACCTTTGAACTTTTACATGGTTATACCTTCTCCAAGCTTGTTAACCACCGATTGCTGTTTTTCTTCTCTTTTTTTTTATTATCTTTTCCTTCCAAAGCTTGTTAGACCCTCTATGTTAGGCTTTTGAACCTCCACGCTAGGATCTTTTCACATTGTGTTTCTTTTTTTTTTTTGTTTTTTTTTCATTTTTAAAGAGTATTTATAGGATTTTGCTAGGGTTTTTGATGTATTCAAACATATACTGATCAAAGCATAACCTTTTGATTAAAATGAGAGTTTTCTACGAATGTTAATAATTAAAACCTTTGTCCTTTAATATTTTTGGGATGCTGGTTTTGTAATAAATTTGTCTAGGTGATTTTGTTTTGTTCAAAGATAAATACATGCATCCCTCACCTTTTGATTTAGTTGAAAGATTTATGACCCTAGATAATAACCCTTTGAAAATTTTTAAATGTGAATATACAAAAATTAAGTGATTTTGCATAAATAAGTGTCTTAGTAAAGGCTTCATCGGAGCAAAATATTAATAGAGATCACTTGAAATTGATAAAGGAGAAGCATACCTTTCGATTGAATCCAGACAACTTGAAATTGGTAGAGGAGAAGCATACCTTTTGATCGGATCCATTCTTGTTCAATTTGAAAGTTTGTAGCTAACTCAATTAGTAAAAAATATAAAAATATAATGATGGCTGATCATGGACAAAATATTGTAAAGTTTATTGAAGAAAATGAGATATAAATGTTTGATAGGAGTAGTTAATTTTTGTAGAAGAGATATTTCTTAGTTGAATTGTGGTGATTATAGTCCCAAAGATGATCGAAGATGCCATATTCATTTGCCTAAAGTTGCTTACTAAAGTTGCTTACTCAATTAGCTAAAACTGTTAATAATAAACTAAATAGTGGTCAAATTATCATTTGTCTAGGTTAAACCCTAGAAATTAAGGTTTTTTAATTTGAGATTTGATAAATTTCACTTTATTCCTTGTCCTTCCAATTGTTTTAATTACACCTGTAATTTCATTTAAAACTCTTAATTTCATGCAATTTTACCCCTCCTAATTTAATCATCATCCCTAAAGTTCAGCATCATTTTCATCCTAGTTCTTGGTTTCTTATTTGTGTTTTTAGACCTTTAATTGACCATCAAATTTTTAATTTTATTTAATTTGACCATGATTTTTATGTATATCCTCTAGTATTTTGAATTTTTTGAATTTTTTCTTAATTTTTAATGGGGTTAAAAGTAAATAACAACATTGTATCTTAAAGTGTGACCCAGACACTTGGAGAAACCCCAATTCATCTTTTTTGTTAATTAAAAATCTTTTAAAGCGATGTCACTACAATGTTTTCTTTTAAAAAAGTATTGGGATGATGATTTTTTGATGGACCTAGATCAAACTAGATTAAATTTTCTAATTTATTATCTAGATCATAACCTTATTTGTGTTTAATAACTTTATTTTTAAAATTTATTTTTTTATTTAATTGAATGATTAACAATCATAAAATATATATATATGAATATGAGAGTGAGTTTTAATCAAGATTTAAATAAGAAAAATAATGCAAATTAAAAAAATACATTAAAATTAAAAAAGAAGAGTTTCACAAAATTTTTAGAAGAAAAACTAAAAAAATAATATGAACTAAAAAAAATACATTAAAATTATAAAAAAAATTGTATTAAATTTGTAAAGAAAAAGGAAAAATATCATTATCAAACTTAACTATTCTCTTAATCTGGCTAGAAACCCAAGTCCATGCATGTTTAGGTACCTGGGCTTGAATACCCAATTCTACATGTTTTTTTTTTTTCCTTCTTAGAAATGGATGATATGGCAATATATCATTCATAAACCCGGAAAATAGAGGAATCAAGCAATAACATTGTTGTTCCTCGTTTTCTTTTCTCGCCTTCTTCTAGCTTCGAGTAGAAGGACTTCTTCTCCAGTATAGCAATAAGCTCACCATCCTCTTTGGATGTTTATAATTCTTAACATGGGTCACATTTAATACTCTTAAAGGTGATACAACGCGTAGGTTTGTATCCCCTCCAAGGCTGACTTTATACCTTTTAACCCAATGCCACTTTTAACAGTGGATCCACACATCGACTACTATTGTTTTGATGCACTGAATTCCATCTGGACCTGTTAACTGCCAAGAACATCTATTTTCCAAGCAATCAATTTGAAGATGAAAACTCATGCACAGCTGTAACTGACACTAATTTTTTAAGATACCAGCAATTGATTTAAAATTTGTTCTTTCAAGGGCTCACAAGATTTTGCATGCAAATGGAATGGACGATATCAAAGAAATGCGACGAGTCCTTTGCTAAGAAACTTCACTGGTCAAGAATTGTAGAAATATACAAAATCAAAGAATGATTAAAGAACCAGATGTAGGTTATTAACTATTTCCCACGCCTATCAACAGCTAACAAAGCAAGCGCTTGTATTTTTAACGAGGTAAAAGTAAACAAAAGCATTTTGATGTTACATGGATCAAATTGAACACATTAGAGGAAAATGTCTAACCTTTTGTACAGCTTCCTTTCTCTATCCCTCTTGATGTCAGAAAATCTGTATAAACTAAAACCAACTACAATCTGGGGGGCAAAAAGGAAATTCCGACTGCCGGCATGAATGGCATGGGTAAATTACTCAGTTTTTCATTGCGAGCATCTGAATACACAAACTCCACCTAGTCACCTGCCAACCCAAAAGGGCAAATACAGAAGTTTCACAGCATTTCCATCAAAGGATCACTCAGACATCTCATCTTCAGCTCTACTAGAATGGTGAAGGTCCTCGTCTATAGCAACCGTCTGTAGTCTTCCAAGGCCATGCTCATCCTCGAACCTCTCCATCCTTGAATTGTTTCCCCTTGAATTTGAAATAGCCTGAAACCATTGTTTAATATAAGTAATAGAGGAATAAACAACACAGTTTAAAAAATGAAAATTCGTGGATGATTCCATATCATTACCCCCAAATCTCTCTGTTCAATTGTAGCAGCGACAGCTCTTTTCCTCACAGTTACTTTTGAGGGGATAGGAAAATGTTCAATCTCGTCACCTGATCTTCCCTCTCTGGCTCTCTTCTTTCTTAAACTAATCTTTGTGGGAAGAGGCTGCATCATAAAAATAGTGTAAAGTCACAGTAATCAATGTAGATTTTGTGCACTGAGAAAATGTGTGTGATGATGATGGAGTACACTGAGAGCAAGTGTGATAGAGATGGTTGATACCAAATAGCGAGCTTCAGCTTCATCAAATGAAACAAGGAACGTTGAAGGGTCATTGGCATCATCCCCCCCCGTATCTGATTGAGGTGTGATTAAGAAAAGTTGTGTTCAGCAAGGAACGTTGAAGGGTCATTGGCATCATCCCCCCCCGTATCTGATTGAGGTGTGATTAAGAAAAGTTGTGTTCAGCGGTTATAAAGAAGCTTGCTAAGTAACATTAACAACTAGAGACACTTGTTGAAGTAAACTCAATCCAGAAAGTCAAGGAAGGCAGCCACCAACTGTCACCGCCCAGCTATCAACCGACCAGCCACCAGCCGCCAGCCGCATGCCGCCAGCCACCGACCGTTTTCACACCGTCGGTTACAACCGCCTTCACACTTGAAGGTTGAATTTTCTTGTTTTGATTTCGTATATAAATAGGCAGTTAAACTTATGCAATTAAGTGTGGAGAGATTGAGAGAAACACTAGAGAGAAAGAGAGAAAGAGAGAGGGGTTGTTATTGTAAGCTTTTCATTATTGTAAGCTTGTTGTTCTTGAAATAAAAGAGTGTGTTTTATCCCCTCCGAGTGTTTCAAAGCCACCACAAGTGGTTTCTCCCACCAACAATTGGTATTAGAGCCCCGTTCGTCAGAAAACAGAGGTATTTTTGGGAAATATCTGAATTTTCAAAGTTGTCAAAAACAAGTTTTGATCATTCCAAAGTGTAGAGCTCATCAATACGAACTCAACGGTGCAACAATCAGATCAATCGGAGCACGGGGTGGAGCACACTCTCCGTCTGAAGTTTCAGCACTGTAGCCCACGCGCCCCGAGGAAGAAGACGAGTGAGCCACACGCGCGCCATATTTGAGCCGCGCCGAGCCGATCCGCGAGCCAAGCCACGAGCCAAGCCACGAGCCATATTTTGAAGCCGAGCCAAGCTCCAAGCCATATTCCGAAGCCAAGCCAAGCTCCGAGCCATATTCTAAAGTCAAAGTCAAAAAAGAATATTCTTTGGAATATTCCCGGTTCAACCCAGCAAACCACCCGAATTGGTTTTTGGACCGGTTCACCTCATTTTTGACCCTTTTTATACAAAGTCAGACCGGTTCCCTACTATTTGGACCATTCCGGAGCCATCTACGGTGTCGGTTTTGCCAAATTCAACTCCCAAAAAGGTGATATAGTCATTTAAAGAGCAAAATGACTATAGAAAATGCACAAACACTCATCCTGGAGCTAACCAAAGACAACTATGATAGTTGGTGCATCAGATTGAAGGCATTCCTTGGTTCACAAGAGTGTATAGACATTGTGCAATATGGTTATGAGGAACCAGAGTCCAAAGAATCAGAAGATGCTCTACTAGAGGTACAGAAGCAAGTCCTCAAAGCCAATAGAAAGAAAGACAACAAAGCAAAGACCATCATTTATCAAGGTCTTGATGAAGCGACATTTGAAATCATTGCTTCCGCAGAAACATCAAAAGAAATATGGGAGGCTCTCCAACAAAAATACAAAGGTGCTGACAGAATAAAGAAGATTCGTCTCCAATCTTTACGAGGTGAATTTGAATTATTACAAATGAAGTCCTCAGAATCCATTTCTGATTATCACACAAGAATTATGGTGATAGTCAATCAGATGAGAAGAAATGGAGAAGCCCTTTCAGATGCTCGAATTACTGAGAAAATTTTGAGATCCCTAGATCCAAAATTTGATTTTGTTGTTGTTGCTATTGAAGAGTCCAAAGAAGTGGACAAGTTAACAGTGGATGAACTTATGAGTTCTTTGCAAGCTCATGAGCAGAAGATTGTAAAAAGAAACCAAACATAAATGTCTTTGACATTGGCAAAGCTAGTTTCACCATTGTGCTCAACATCAATTGCATTCTTCTAAATCATGTGCGTGTTTCCAAACCTTCAACTAGATTCATAGCTTTTTCAACTGAGATTGACTTTTAAGTTTGCGCGTCTTTGATTTCTTGTAGCTTACCTTTAATGTTATCAATTAAATCTTTTAATTATGCATTTTTAGCATCATAAAGATTTGAAAATTTTCTCTTAAAGCTTCTACCCTTAACATTATTAGCCATAAAATTTTCTTTCACTAAACCTAAACATTTTTTCTGCACAACACCTTCTTCCTTGTTAAGAGATGGAGCATTGGATCCATAAAGTAGAGGAAAGTCTCTAGCCACTAAAACTCTTCTCCTAAAAGGATAACTGTTATGAATAATTTTTTTAACTAGAACAACAACATTCATCTTTGTAGATGACTACTCTAGCTTTGCGTCCAACTTTTGTTCTTGTATATTTTTTGAACAATTCTTTAAAGATATTGGAGATTTAGAATTATCTTCTTCATTAAGATCAGAATCATTGCTATTTTCTTCTATATAACTTGGTGAGACCTTTTCATTACATATAAACATCCTTTTAATATATGCTCCAACTACTTTAGGCATATCAAAATCATCAAAATTAATAAGCTTTTCTTTAACATCTTTTTCTTTGTATAGAAGCAAAAAACTTTTTGAAATTTGAACTTTGAAATTATAATAGAACCTTTTTTTTTCCCCAAGGATCAATAGAAGAGAGTTTTAGTTGTTGATCTGGCTCCTCATCATGATCAAGATTATGGTTAAAATCACAATCCTGATATATTTTAACATCATGTGGACCAAACAAGACATAGTTGATATTAGTTGTGCTACAAACACTAAATTTTCTTTCATACGTGGGACATGATAAACATCTTGAAGATGTACAAGATCTGAGTTATTACGGTGCATGATTGCATCTTACCAATATAGTTTATTAGTAATCTAAAGTTGTCAACTTCCACCACCACACAATTTCCACATGATAATAAAAATAGACATGCTTAGAAAAACCAACAAATAAAAATAAATTGCCAATGCCAAGGCTTATGCAACCCAATGCACATGGACAATAACAAATCATGCCAAACATGGGTGGACTTACTAGGTGAAGCCCATGCTCATGACCTTTTTTTTAATTAAAAAAATAGATAAATAATACATTGTTTATTTTTTTATTCAAAAATAAAATAAAATAGATAACACCTCAAGTATAGTGACAAATGACATATTGCTTGTTGGTCTAGATTAAAATCACCAAATAAGTGGTTAAAAAGTCGAGGCATTATTTTTTAGATAAAAAATCAATTTCCACCTATTTATCATAAAAAAACCTAATGAACACCCTTTAACCCTCCAACAAACTAGTTTATAAATTCAAAACATCTTTAAATCAGTTAAAAAATATAAAATAGAACTAAATAAAAAGATTTCCTAACCGTAATCTATGTTTTTAGCCCGATAGGAGCTCAAAAATATTTTAATGGAATTTTTTTTTGAAAGGTTTTAGTGATAGTAATGTGATAGACCAATTACTTTCTTTCTTCTCCTTTATTTTTCATCAAATTCCTCTCTCTTCTCAAGTTTTAGGAAGCTTTGGGCCAAAATGATGTTTATTATTCTCTCTCCTGAAATAATCCACCAACCAAAAGTGGGTCAAAAAAAAAAACAACCTAACAAACTGTCAAATTTTAATATAAGCTGCACCGAATAATTTTGGTTCAGGTACCATGCTTCAATTCGAAAGTTTTTTTTTTCTTTTTTTTTTACCCAGAGTAAGATGAAGCGGGAGACAAAAAGAATAGAAGTGGTGTTCGGACATATATATATATATATTATTTTTTAAAATGTATTTTATTTTTAATATTAAAAAATTAAAAAAAATCTGAAGCAATTTTTTTCTTCTTAAAATGAGAAAACAATGGTTCGATGGATGCGCCAAACCATAAAAAAGTGGGAGCTGCACATTCAAACTTGTTGACCACCCTTTCTTCTTCTTCTTCTTTTCTTTTCACTTTCATCAGGCTCCCTTCTATTGAAATAAACTCAATCCAGAAGGTCAAGGAAGGCAGCCACCAGCTGTCACCGCCCAGCCACCAACCGACCAGCCGCCGGCCGCCAGCCGCCTGCCACCAGCCGCCGGCCGCCGGCCGCTTTCACATCGTCGGCCACAACTGCCTTCACACTTGAAGGTTGAATTTTCTTGTTTTGATTTTGTGTATAAATAGATAGCTAAGCTTATGCAATTATGTGTGGAGAGATTGAGAGAAACACTAGAGAGAAAGAGAGAAAGAGAGAGGGGTTGTTGTAAGCTTTTGTTTATGTTATTGTAAGCTTTGTTCTTGAAATAAAAGAGTGTGTTTTATCCCCTCTAAGTATTTCAAAGCCACCACAAGTGGTTTCTCCCACCAACAATTGGTATCAGAGCCCCGTTCGTCAGAAAACAGAGGTATTTTTGGGAAATATCCGAATTTTCAAAGTTGTCAAAAACAAATTTTGATCATTCCACAGTGTAGAGCTCATCAATACGAACTCAACGGTGCAAAAATCAGATCAATCGGAGCATGGGGTGGACCACACTCTCCGTCTGAAGTTTCAGCACTGTAGCCCACGCGCCCCGAGGAAGAAGACGAGTGAGCCACACGCGCGCCATATTTGAGCCGCGCCGAGCCAAGCCTCATGCCGAGCCGCGAGCCAAGCCGCGAGCCATATTTCGAAGCCGAGCCGAGCTCCAAGCCATATTCCGAAGCCAAGCCAAGCTCTAAGCCATATTTTAAAGTCAAAGTCAAAAAGAATATTCCTTGGAATATTCCCGGTTCAACCTAGGAAACCACCCGAATTGGTTTTTGGACCGGTTCGCCCCATTTTGGACCCGTTTTCTACAAAGTCAGATCGGTTCCCTACTATTTGGACCATTCTGGATCCATCTACGGTGTCGGTTTTGCCAAATTCAACTCCCAAAAAGGTGATATAGTCATTTAAAGAGCAAAATGACTATAGAAAATGCACAAACACTCATCCCGAAGCTAACCAAAGACAACTATGATAGTTGGTGCATCAGATTGAAGGCATTCCTTGGTTCACAAGAGTGTATAGACATTGTGCAATATGGTTATGAGGAACCAGAGTCCAAAGAATCAGAAGATGCTCTACCAGAGGTACAGAAGCAAGTCCTCAAAGCCAATAGAAAGAAAGACAACAAAGCAAAGACCATCATTTATCAAGGTCTTGATGAAGCGACATTTGAAATCATTGCTTCCGCAGAAAC